CCTCAGAGGTGGAGAGTGTGTGACTTGCTCAAATTCACCCTGTGGGTTTCCATGCCCAGGATTCCAACTGTGTTCTCCTAGAGTCCCAGCTGAATACTCAAACCAGTACATGACATTGTGGCAAGATTTGTAAGTGACTATTTAGCAACAGTATCAGCTGCTAACCTATCAGAGCAGGAGTAATTTTGCCAGGAAGAATGGGAAAAATGTCCAGACCCTTCACCATTTTAGTCATCCTCCTTTGGATGAGCTACAGTTTCTCAATATCCTTTTTGAATTGTGGTGCCCAGAACTGGACACAGTATTCCAGGTGAGGCCTGACCAGAGCAGAATAGAGTGGCACTATGACTTCTCTTGATCTAGACACTAAACATCAATTGATGCAGCCTAAAATAGCATTGGCCTTTTTAGCTTTTGCATCACACTGTTGATTCATGTTCAACTTGTGGTCTACTAGGACTTCTAGATTCCTTTCACACATAGTCTCATTAAGCCATCCTATATCTATGCATTTCATTTTTCCACCCTAAGTACAGTACCTTATATTTCTCTGTGTTGAAATTCATTTTGTTAGCTTTGGCCCAGTTTTCTAATCTATTAAGATCATTTTGAATTCAAACTCCAGGAAAAGAGATTCCACCTGAACATTAGGAAGAATTTCCTGACAATAAAAGCTGTTCAAGAGTGGAACACAGTCCCTCAGAAGGTAGTGGAGTCTCTTTCATTGGAGGTTTTAAAACAGAGGCTGGATGTCTATCTGTCGGAGGGTGTTTTGATTGTATATTCCTGCATGGCAGGAGGGTGGACTTGATGGCCTTTGGGGTCTCTTCCAACTCTATGATTCTATGATTCTAGCCCAACACAACAAAGGTACTAAGTGCATTGTAGCCTTTCTTGGGAGAAAAAAATCCAGGTTTCAAGAAGGTGACTTCAAAAACACAAAAAGATAACTTCTGAAGGTTCCAGGAGCAAAATGCTCTCATAGAGTCAATGGTGACACCTGCCTTGACATTCTCTGTAAATCCCATGGTTAGTCATAAAAACAACGGTTTAATGATTTCAAGTGTTTTTGGGAAATGAATTCCTTTCCAAATTGCTAACAGTTAACATTGTCAAATATCCCAAGCTCTGGCGATTCAAGTCAAAAGTGGATAGTGGTGGCTTTCCACTTCTTCCTTGGTGCCAACAGCAGTGACAGCAGCAATAATTGAAATATATATAGAGATAGATAGATAGATAGATAGATAGATAGATAGATAGACCAGGTGTTTTTCTTTTACATGTAAATACAGTTATTTCTAAAAATCATAAACAATCATAGTCCAGTGCTAAAATAAATAACAATTGTTATAGCCGTTGACACATTAAAAAACTGACACTGAAATTAATAATTTAGCAAGGATACACTCACATGTATGTATGATTTCTTAACTTGGTCTATATCATTTTCATCCACATTTGGATGAATATATCTGGAATAATTAATACGGCACTGCACTCCCTCCACTCCTCAAAATAACAATTCAATTCAATAACCATCACAGCAGTTGTTTTCTCAGAAAAAAAATCTTCCAAATTGAGCATGTCTATTTGCAACTTTTTAAAAAGTTATTCATTATTTCTGGCCAAAAATATATGTGTTAAAATGTTGAAAGTTAAGAATATTATCTTTAACATGTTACCTAGTTTTATGAATGCTGTTACTTTTTTGGTCAAACCACCTATGAAATCTCTTCCCTGCTTTCTATTTGGGTGCTCAGTCTCTCTCCTCCTCTCTCGTTTTACTCTTTCATCTTATCTCTTTCAAATTCTCCTTCTCCCATATTGTCAGCAATGTCTGTGTCTACGTCAACATTGGTATTCCTTTCCAGTTCCTTGTTTCCATGTTGTCTTCCACTGAATAGTTCTGCATATAGTTGAGTCCATATACTCTTGATGCTTTCCTTCCATTCTCCATGTGAATCAATCAATCAATCAATCAACCAATAATTTATTATGGTTACAGACCAGCATAACTCTCTCTCATCCCTCTCTTATCTAGTCTCTCCATCCACTTTGTCTCTTTGGTATCTTCTCTCATTCCTCATCATCTGTCCATCAGTTCCCTGCCACCCAAGTGCAGGGTTTCCATCTAGAACTTCTGCAACATGCTCAGTCCACAATCCAACAAACCAAGCCATTCTTCTTGGTAACCAGGAAAAATCCTTCACTGCCTGTCTTGTTCTGCAGAGGAAATGACTAAGGAATGCACTAGAAAACCAACAGTTTCTCTCATGTGGCAGGAAGAAGAACTGGCAATCTGACAGAAGCTCTGTTTCCTCAGAAAGAAGTTGCTTTTTGGAGGTTTCCTCTCAGCCCTGGAGACGGGTCTCTTCTCCATACTGGTAGACCTTCTTTTCTATAGGGGAATCTGAGCAAGGATGTTAGAAAACCCAATTTCTCACCCCAAGTAGGTAGAAACTAGACATGTTCAGAATGTGTCAGGATAGAGGTAGAACTTTAGAGTCAGTGAATAATAGCACTAAATGGAAAGGTGGCCAAAAAGAAGGAAAGTGCAGCATCTCACTTTGTTTCCTACAGGGGAGATAACATGAAGAACTATCACCAACCATAATAATACGTTGGGCACATCCACCATGTACATTAAAGGCCTGTTATTTTTTGATCTCCCTGTACAGAATCAAGTTTCTGCCTTTAAAAATGGTACATGGGATGCTGAAGCAGGAGTTTTGGTCAAGCACATGAGATTCAATTGCCTGTGTAATCAAAGTTTCCTTGAGACAGGGCTAGCATTTGCTAAAAAGAGATTATATTTGCAGAAGCTATTGTGAAGAATGTGAAAAGCTTTCACTTGGGTCATACATCAATGCATGGTACATTTGTGGAAAGTTATTATGAAAGTAGACTATTCCTATAAAAATAGTTTTCCAGCTGAGTGAAAGTTGAAGTCTTAAAAAAAAATATATTGGAAGCTGTCTTGTGTTAGGTCAGGTTATTTATCAATTGGCTGAGACTTTCAATGGCTCTTTCAGGCAGGGGTGGGAATTGTGTTCCTACAATGGAGTATTTTTTTTTTTTTTGGTATAGTCCTTGTCCATATCACACCTCTGTTTCTCCCCACAGTCCTGAATCCCCTTTTGCTAGCTAGAAAATGACTTGTGTGTGTTGTATAATTAAGTTGGCAGGCAGTCCCCCGTAAGATGTTTTTAAAAGGTCTGAAATTGACTGGAAGTGCCAGCAACATTGCTTCTGGTTTGGGGAAAGAGCTGTGATGTAGCCTGTGGTGCATCGAGAGGAGCGGAAAAGGACCATCTGCTCACCCTTGTTCTAGGAAAGGGCCTTAGCGATCATGTAAAATTCTATACAGAAAAGAATCACGCAAAAGCAATATACAGTTATATCTGTGGGGAAGGGAATATTGTGGTTACAGCATTGGCTGGAGATGTGGGAGATCCAAGTTCATGTCCTCAAGAAGGCATGGGTGAACCTGGGCAAGATATCCTCTGTCAGCTTGATTTACCCACTGTGTTGTTGTGAGGCTTAATGGTGGGGAGAAGGGAGCCACATGCACTAAATTGAGCTCATTTGCAAAAAGGTTGGATAGAAATATAACCTGAGTTATTCATACTTTTTGTTTGGCAACGCGACTATGCAAATAATCTCACTGATGCATTCCCGATTTGTTGTTCAGTTTTCCCCCAACTATTTGTTTTAATCAGAACCACATCTCTGCGAGTTCTGTTGCTCACACATGTCAGTACTGTGAATGAAGATGGAGTTGATGATGCGGATGTACTCAAAATGTGTTCAAGACATGCAGAGTTTTATCCTGGTTTATAGGGGGATACTCACATTTGTTATTCACACAGCTGACAATTTGAACCTTTCAGGAAAACTCAAAAACCCTCTGAAAACTGGGTTTTGCAGGGTTTTGTGCAGCTGCCCCACAACTTCAGATGCATTTGAAATTCATGTGAACAATATAGAGTCAATCCATGTTCTATTGGCATTATTTACACCATCTGAATAACCCCTTGAAAATCAACCTAAAGAAAATCAACACACACGGAGTGGAAATTTTGAGTTAGAATAGGAATGCCAAGCACCAGACGTATGAAAAAATAGTTTTAGGAGATAGCCTGCCTTTCTTAGAGAGTCAGCACAAGAGATAGAGGGAAGAGAGAGTGATTATTTTATTTTATTTATATCTCACTTTTCACCCTGCATAGTGACGTATAACATGCCCTGCAATGTGACGTACAACATAGACTAAAACAAGGTTAAAAATCTGATAATAAAAAAATCTGATAATAAAAAAAAATCTGATATCTGTTTAAAATGCTACAATTTAAAACACAATAAAGGCATTAAAAATAACAATAAGAATAAAAGTACAGCAACTCCCCCGCCCCCCCC